AACAGAGGAATAAACAATAAATATTTCTCTCCAAAGTAACACATTTTTGAACCAAACATCAATTTAATCAACTACTAGACTTATGACTAGACTGGACTAGTCATAACTCTACTAGGCTAGAGTTATGGAGCTGTGAATTTACGTATGCAAAAAGTCTTGGAAAGTTTTTGACTTCTAATCACACCAACCCATGCATTTACTTGTAGAAAAATATATAAATATTTAGTCAAAGTATATAGTATGTATCAACTGGTAGAGTATTTGCATATTTGAAATCCTAACTCTCCTGGAAGTCTGGAATGCACAATCACTGTATCCATGCCAGGCCAGATCCACAAACACTAACTCCAGAAAGTGCCCCTTCCTTGCTCTGGAAAATTGGGCTGGCTTCTCACACTCTTATAGCCAGCTTACGAGGAATACATGTTTAAGGCAAATTTCAACTTCCTAAATGAGTGAAAAATAGAGTTTAAATGAAAGGCGGGACGCACTAGCCTCCCCTGGTAATTCTAAAGAACATGCATGTGCTTCCCATTTAAGCAGTGGCACAAAGGAAATTGAGTCATCAGTTTCTTTCCGTGCAAACCCCCAGAATTTCTCCGAGGCAGAAAAGATCCCCTTTGTGAACTGTGCTTTGTCTGGCAGCATCTGCACCTGCTTCACTCATTCTTTTATGAGAGCCACTTCCCTTTTAGGCTCTGGGTGGAGTCAGCTAAACCGGAGGTGCTGGGGAAACACAACTCTAGCCCCTACCTCAGCCCCAGCCCCAGCCCCAGCCCCAACTCCAGCCCCAACCGCAGCCCCAGCCCCAGCCCCAGCCCCGACAGACAGCTGTGGAGGCCCAGCTTACCTCCCACACCCTCCGCTCTGTCAGGGGACCCCAGCCTGGAACCACCTGACATCACAGGCTGATCTGCAATCTCACTTGGGTGACCATGTGTACCTGGAGCTCCAACAGCAGCTTTCAGTTCCACATCCTTGACTTTTGTAGAGAACTGTGTCATCCTCAGTCCTTAGGACCTTCCCTTACTGAGGCTCACACAACCTGCTAAACGCTGTGAGTTTCCAACGAGCACGTGTTGAGGGGGCCCTCTGGGTCAATGCACCTAAATGCTTGCAGGGTCCTGTGAGAGCCTCTTGCAGGGCGGGGCCTCTTCCTCAATTTTCACGTAGAGCACCTTGTCCTAACTTGCCTCTGAGACAAGGAGCAGCCTCTCCCTTTTTTCCAAGCCTGCAAATGAGAGCATTTCTAGGAGGGCAGCTGGACTCTGATAATGTTAGGGACCTACTTTAGTGATAAATAATTAGGTTAGCATCTCTCAACAGCTGTGGCCAAACCTGAGAGGACACAGGCCAGGGCAGGAAGAGTCCCACAGCCTGCCGTGGGAGGGGGAAGACACTCAGGCCGGGCTGCCTGTTAGCTGGCCATAGGGATGGAAGAGTGGGAGAACCACACACAGTTTACAAAGTCTGCCAGAGGCAAGGGAATGAGTCAAAGCAGCACAGGCACTGGAGTCTAACATGGGGGATGTTAGGCAATGGGGGATCCCAGCTCCACCACTTACTAGCTGTGTGTCCTTGGGACAGTCACGCCATCTCCCTGAGCCTCAATTTCTTTGTCGAGAAAATGGAGTTAAGAGAGTGCTAAATGTATATAGGCTGTTGTGAGGCTTCTATAAGACAACCTGTGCTAACCCCTCTCTGAATGCCAAGCATAGAGTCAGTGGTCAGTAAAGGCAATTTCCTGGGAACCTGGGATGCTACTTCGCACAGGGGCCTATGGTGAAATAGCTGAGTGTCAAGCTTTTAAAACTTGTAAAAGCTTTTTAAAGCTTTTTCGAACTCTAAGGGATTCAGCAATGTCCAGGAGGCCCTGGAAGCCCCAGGACAGTACAGAAACTCTTCATTGAGCATCATCTTTGCTATATGGTAAAAAAAAAAAAAAAAAAAAAAAAAAAAAAACTCTCATTCTTATATTAAACTCAAAATAGGTATATTGTGGAGCAAAATAGAAAACTGTGAAGAGGGTTTAAATGGTATGTAAGGCTTGGAACACCAGTAGACCATACCCTGTCCACCCATTGCAGTGGATAGAGGCGGGGCTCATAGCAGTTGTCGACAGTGGTATTTCAGAGACCCTAAGTACGGAGAGCATCCTTCCCTAACACTCTGTCAGAGAGCAGGGAAGTTATGCCTCTCTTTCAGGGCCCGTTTCCTTGTAGAAGGAGCTATTCTGAATGAACCCTGGGAGACGTGTCTCGCAGTCTACGACAATGAGTCAAGAAATATTTCTTGAATGAATGAAAGGGAGCTGTCATAAATGAAGAATTTCATGCTGCCCAGCATTCCCTCCTCCATGGTGCAATTTGGAAGAAAACGGAAACTTTCCCTACCGGCTGCCACCCTCAAACACGCCTACCTGCTGGCCTGCCTTCGCAGGAAGTAGATGTCCAATGTATATCTGGGGAATAACTAAATTAATTGATGTGAACCTCATGCAGTGATGGAGCATTGCTTCCTTGCTTCTTCACCTGGGAAAACACAGCCAAAGCTCTTTATGCCCAAGAGGGGGCTCTAATGCTCAGAGGGAGCAGAAGGCACATGCCAGCCCCAAGCCCCAGAGCTCTCAGATGCACCCCTCTTTCTCAACAGTAGGGGCACGATTCCCTAGCAACGACCTTTGAACCAGAGTAGAGAGGAGGAGGAGATAGCTGTGGGCAGGAGGGCTCATCCCCCTTGCCCTACACCCAGGCCACTTTCTCCCACATATGACAACTAGTTCAAGGTATCTGTTCTCCAGGTCAGAGTTTCTGGGTCCAATATTGTTTAACTATATTTAGCCATGTCTCTACTTTTTGCTTTCCCATAGGGAGATTGGAACCTTCCTCCTCCCCAAAGCCTTGTCCTTTTTCAGAGTTTCTTCTTATCTTCTGGAGCCCACCTCCCCACCCCCAGAATGGAGCAACAACAGTTTCTTTCCTTCCGCCCCTCCTTCTCCTTCCGCTATCTGCCTGCCCAGGCCAAGCCCACTGGTAAATCATGTCTCTCTCCTTTCCAAGTCTTGGTTCTTTCCAAACAGCCTTCCAAGCCAGGGTCCAGGCAGTTATTGCTACTGGCACTTTTCTGTGCTTTCTCCAAATGACACTGCCCGAAGGAACCACAGAAACATGGGGCAGGGGTGAGCTTGCTGATCTCAGGGAAAGCTTCAAGGGTCCGGACAGCACTGAATATTGGGGGATGGGATCCTTTAAAAGAATACGGCAGAGAGGTTGGCAAGAGTCAGGAGTCAGAATCCTCAGAAGCAAAGCAGAAGACATTATAGGAAGGTAATACGCAAACAGACTTCCTCAGAGGCCCCCCTTCTCGGAGGCCAGGCCCAGGGCTCTCCCTGCACTCAAGTTTCCTTCTTCTCTCTCATCCCCAGCGTTTCTGCCTTTCAAGGGCTCTTTGGATCTCCAGTCTCAGTCTCTGCTAAGGCTGTTGGTCCACCACAACCCTCCTTCCCTGAAATCCTTTTCAATGTTGTCCCTGCCATAATTACAGTATTCGGACTGCGGACAGACTAATGGGTCTGAGTTTACATGAGCCCCAATCCTCTGGCTGTGTGAACACACACAAGTCATTTCACCTCTTGGCCTCAGTTTGCTTCCTCCGAGTAAAATGGGACTAATAACAGGACACTTCTCACTGGGCCAGCATGAGGGTAAAATGAGATAACACATGTAAAGAATTTAGCACAGTGCCTGGCATAGCAAACGTGTGCAACAAATGTTTGCTAGTTCTGTCATTCCTATTATTATTATTATTATTATCATTATTATTTCTATTTCAAGAATCTAACGTGTAGATCCCCCACTTTCCCTCAGTCTAAAGTACCCAGGTAGGACTGTGTCTTTTACTCTCCTGGTACCCCCAGAGCCAAGTTTAATAAATACTTGCTGAGTAGAATTAACCATAGGCTGAGCTGTCTTAATGACCCAGCTGGCACTTCTTAAAAGAAAAATTAATTTTGCTAGTGATAAGCAAATCAGCCATGTAATTATCTGTACATATATAGACAAAGAAAGGGAATACTTGGAAGTCAGCCCCACCAGGATACCTCACACGCAGCCACCCCTTCCACACACCCTGAAAGGCGCGGACCCTGTCCCAATGGAATTTTGGCAGCAGTGCCAGCTCCAGGGTCCCTGAGGCAACCTTGGTGCCCAGGCTCCCTGTTCTCCTCCAAGGCTTCCAGGCAGGAAATATTAGCCATATTAGTGTCTGGTTTTCCCCTAACTGATTGGCGGAAACAGGAGTTTACAAGGACTGAGCAGCTGGCCCAGTCATTGTCTTTCGGGCTCCCACTCCTTGCACGCCCCCGTACCCCCACCCCCACACCCCGCTGGAACCTCGTGGAGACCCAGAACCTCCCCAACAGAGCTGGTTCAAGTTCCTGCTGGCACTAAGATAGTCAGTGACTGGAGCCAGCTGTAGGAGCTTTGAAACCCAGGCGCAACGGGCAGCCACAGGAAGCCAGGACCCCTTCCTGGAAAGCTCACTGCAACCAGCTCTCATACATACAACTATGCCCACCTCTGTGGCCACTTCTCTAACAGCCCCTGTCCTGCCCCAGCCCCCGCCTCGGCCACAGCCCAGCCAGTCTTCAAGCGCCTTTGGGACAGGAGCCTGTTGGTCCAAACTCCGGCTACGCGCATCCAGGAGTACAGTTACATTCGCCTTGAGCTCAGCTTCTGGCGACCTCGCCCAAAACGGCGCGCCGGCAGCGTGCTCGGCAAATTTTCTTCTCTCTTTCTCTTTCCTTTCAACAAAACGGTATTTCCATCAACAAACTCTCCGACAGTTGAGAATAAATCTTAGCCCTCCTTAACCAAACCCAAGCTGCACGGCGCACGCCGTCCCCTCGGTTCCGGTCCCCACGGCCAATTCAGCCGGCGCGTCAGGCGGCTCAGTCCCGACCCCTCCTGCCACTCCCTCCCTCTGCCCCGTAGGGCACTCACCGATCTGCGCCAGGCTCAGCTGCAAGAGGCAGAGTCCCAAGATTGTGCGCCACCCGAACCTGTCCATGGTGTCGGAGCGGACCGAGAGAGCAAGCGAGCGGAGCAGGAGGGGCCCGGCGCTCTGGGCTGGGGACTGGTCGAGGACGGGGCGAGGAGAGCGGCCCGAACCTGTCAGAGGCTGGGGTCCTGCTGGGCAATGAGAGCGCCTCGGAAGTTGGTTGCAGTTTTTATTCAAGGGCTGACTAAGAGGGAGGGAGGGAGCGAGCGAGCGAAGGACACACCCAAGCAAGGGGGCTGTGACTAAGCTTCGGGCAGAAGTTTAAAGACGTACCGGCCCTCTGCGCGGGCCCCAGCGCTTCCACCCCCTTCCCTTTGGAGAACGTAAATCGTTTCCTGGGCGTGCGCCGGGAAGGCAGAGGGAAGGCTGGCTGAAAGGGCGACCTCAGGAAAGAGGATGACTGAGTCCTGAAATCTCACCCCTCTGGGTTCAACCTCTGGCCTCTCCTCTCCGTTAAGTTTCTCTTTGAGTCTGGCCTGGGATGATTCTCTCTAGGTTTCACAGGCAGCTGGTTATTTTGGGAGAGGGACCGGGACAGCGGTGCTTCCCTGCCCACCGTGGGGAGGAGAGACAGAGAGCTTGCGATTCTTCCCAGGGGAGAGAGGAAGAACAGCCAAGTCCACATGGCTCAGGTGGATTTTGCTTCGTATCAGGACTGTTCAGAGAAAGAAGATGGTCAGCCATGGGGCTGGCATTTGGCTCTACTAACCCATGCGTATCCTCCGGTCTTTGGCACCCGGATTCACCCCCCATTCATGCATCCATTCGCCCACACTCTCCTCCATCCTCCCACACATTCTTCCATCCACACATTCATCGATCCACCCATCTTTCCTAACATCCCTCCAAGGCTCACACATCCTCCATCCTGTCCGTCATTTAACAACCGCCTGTCCTTTCATTTATCCAACCACCTTCCCATACCACTTCTCCTTCACCTTTGCATACATGTTTTCCACAGGTCTTCATAAACCCACATCCATCTATACACTATCCTGTGCTCCACCCATCCACCTGTTCATCAGTATATCCCTCTATCGTTCATCCATCATTCACGTACACACTCACCATTTTATCCATCCTCTCCTCTGTCCACACTTTCGTCCATTCTTCCTTGCTCCCATTTATAAGACTACTCGTGCAAAAATTAATCCGCTTTTCCCCACCTATCCTACCCCATAAATCTCAAAAGAGAAGGACACTGTCATATTCTTCAGAAAGGCATTTTGAATTTGAAAAGTCGTATTTGCATTATCATTTCATGTCTACCTCTCATATACTGTGATTTAATATTTGAAAATTAAAAGGAGAATTTATCACTAATGTGAACTTCTGGAAGTAAATCTGAATGGATTTCTTGCCTGGTGATACATACAGAAAATTAAAGTGATTACCAGTGACTGTGGCCAGACCCTGAAAGAGCAATGTCAGAATTTCTGAGGGAATATAATCCCCTTTTGATTTTGTTATTTATTAAAAGAAATTGAAAAATGGAGAGAAAGTGCACTCAGCTATCTTTTTTTTTTATTCTCACCCAAGGATATGTTTTTTGATTTTAGAGAGAGAAAAACATCTGATCAGTTGCCGCCATATGTGCCCCAACCGGAGATTGAACCCACAACATCTTGCCGTTCAGGACAATGCTCCAAGCACCTGAGCCACCAGGCCAGGGCCACTCAGCCTTCTCTAATTCATCAAATATGTAGTAAGTTTCCAAAAATACCAGAAGAAGTAAGACCTTTCTTCAGGAGCCTCACACTCTCATGAGGAGGCTCTTACCATGCAATATGTATGCACAGAGTGTGCATATTGAGCCTAGATAAAAAATTGCACCCATTCCCTGGAAAACATCAAGGGGCTCTTCACAGTGGATGTGATATTTGAACCAGGTCTTGAAGGAAGAGAAAGCACTCTTCAGAAGAAACCACAGGGACAAAGCATCTATAGGCAGTGCTCTATAGTGATCAATAACAAGGGTTCAGGAGGCAGAGTCCTTGGATTCACCCCTTGCCTTGGCTGCTTACGAGATATGTGACCTTGAATAAGTTCCTTAGCCTTTCTGTGCCTCAGTCTCCTCAAGCATAAAATGAGGTTAATAACTATCTATTTCATAGAATTGGTGAGGATTAAATGAATCAACAGTCTGTATATATTAAACGCTAGACAGATACGTATATATGCATGTAGTGAGCACTATGTATGTGTTTGCTACTATTACTAAAAGCAAAATTGTGAGTGCACATGGAAATATGAGCGTACATGGCTCGTTGAGGCAATGGAGAGGAGTTGAACATTTGATCAGATGAAGAGTTTGAGGGGCACATTAAGACATGAGGCTAGAGATGTAAGCAGGGGCCAGGTTATAAACTATACCAGGAAGTTTGAACTTGATCCCTAGGAAATAGGGAGCCAATGTAAGTTTTATTATTATATTGTTGTTGTTGTTGTTGTTGTTATGTTTGTGCTATAAAACAGGTAATATAAAGTTTATCATTTTAACCATTCAATAGCACTTAGGACATTCAGAAAATTGGGCAGCCATCACGACCATCTTAATCAGTTCAGGCTAAATAACAGAATATCATAAACTGGGTGACTTGAACAACAGGAATCATTTGTTACAGGTAGGAGGCAGGGGAGTTGGGGACCACAGTGACAGCACGGCTGGGTTCTGGCAAGAACACTCTTCATGGTTTGCAGGTGCCCATCTTCTCCTAACCTCAGAGGATGGGAGGAGGAAGAGAGTGGGGAGCAAGCTCTTATGTATGTCTCTTCCTATAAAGGCACTGATTCCGTTCTTAGGGCTGAATCCTTGTGATGTCCCAAAGACTCCACCTCCTAAAACCATTTCACAGGGAGGTTAGGATTTCAACATGTGAATTTTGGAGGGAAACACACACTCAGCCAATAATCACCACTATCTAGTTCAGTGTAAGTTTCTGAGTTGGGGACAACCTGCATCCCATAGAGGCATAGGGTGCCTCTGTTTCATTTTCAGAGAGAGTGTTGGGCACTGAAAAAATCACCTAACCTGCTCCCCAACCACTCAGCTGGCATTCTGTGATTCTAGGGGTGGCCTGTCTGAAATGAAGGCAGCACTTCTGAGCCCCACCTGAAAAGCAGACACTTTAAAAAATGCTGTCGTGGGTAGCAGAGTTGACCTTGCTGCTGTCTGTGACAGAGGAGACGCTTTCCCAAAACAACTGGAGGGCAAGCTGGCTCCCAGGCAGATCCTCAGGCATTAACCACCTGAGAAACCAGTCCGGGTGAATTCCCATGGAGAGAATCCTCGTCAGAACGGCCCTGTGCATGTTACATCCGGGGCATGCAGCCTTCCTTTTTCGGAGAAGGGGCATGAAGCGGGGTGGATAGTCACTAGAAACGATATTTGTCTCACTATGTTTCCTGGAACTTGGGCATTCCTCGGAGACCCCTCAGAAGCAGGCACAGAGGTCAAAGCAAAGGCTTAAACATGGGCTGTGCCTCTCCCACTCTTGTCCCCACACCATGTGCAGAAGTTCCACTCATACCACTCTTATCCACTAGATTACTGTATGATTTCATTTTGACAAAGTGTTTTACTTATTTAAAATATATTTTAAAAAGATGTCCCTGGTCCCTTCTGTATTTTTACAGTCAACAGTCATCAAATGAAGAAACAGGTTGCCAGTGCTTTGTAAACTGTAGAGGTACATGCAAATTCTAGGGATTGCAATTAGGATCACTCTCCTGGGGGCAGAGGGCGGGGAACTCTTCAGCTTGCCTGCTTCCCAATAGTTTAGTGAGGCTGTTTGCCCCCTCGCCAGACTGACTCATTTCAAATTGGCCCGGTGACTTACTGAGTGAGGGCCAGTCTTAGGGAATTCCTGGATCACCCCTCTGAGCTCCTCTCTCATCTTCCTTCCGGTCCAGATATCCCACCCACACTGCTGGTCTCACAAAAACTTTCCCCTGCTCTTCTCTGGGCCTCCATAAGGACTAAATCCTTACAGTTACTAGTTTCAGGTGTTCAATACCTGTTGCGTGTTGCACCAGATACCTTCCTATGCCAAACCGTGGGATATAGGAAGCTGAAAAAGAGAGCTTGAATTGATCTGGTTTGACATGAGATCATATATTTGGAAAGAATTCAGGGTCCAATCAATAGCCCTGGACTGAGAAAGCTCAAATCTGGACACCAGCTCTCCCTGTTGGGTCACTTAACCTCTGAGAGTTCCTGTTATCCCATCCACAAAGATTAGGAAGACCTTTCCCACTGCTGGTTATGAGTAGTAAGTGAAAGAAGGCATCAATGCTTTTAGAGGGGTGCCAGCCTCATGGTGGGACTCGTGACCCACCCTCTTACCTGAGGACCGGACATGTCTGCCTGTCTCAGGCACTAGTACACATTCAGCCCTCAGTGGCTGACAGTGTTCTGTCTCTGGCACAAGCTGCCTGCTCAGTAAGTACGCATTATGGAAATGCGTAAATGACTCTTGTTCTTTTTCTGCCCAACGCACTTTAGATGCAGGGGTGTCCAACTTTTGGCGTCTCTGGGCCACACTGGAGGAAGAAGAATTGTCTTGGGCCACACACTAAATACATTGCAACACGTAATCACAAAAAAATCTCATCATGTTTTAAGTAAATTTACGATTTTGTGTTGGGCTGTATTCACAGCCACCCTGGGCCACATGCAGCCCGCAGGGCATGGGTTGGACACAACTGCGAGGGTGGCTTCAGAAATCACTTAAGCCAGTAAGTTGAAGCATTTAGATACTTTCTAGGCAAAGGCAAGCAGCAGTGTCATATCTGAGTGACCTCTTTCAGACGACCCAGTGGAATCAGATCATGGTTCGCTCTAGTAGACTAGTGTTTGTTTGTTTGTTTTTTCCTAAATATTGGGGCTTGTTGGCTTCTGACTAGTAATAAATCTTGTTCTTCTTAAGCAAAGAAAGGTCAAATCTAAACCAAATGTGAGCAGGAGTATGTGGAGCAAAAGTGGGAGATGAGGGCCTAAACGGTGGAATTTGAGGATTATAAACACGGTAAGCCACCAGACTTTTAAAGAGACAGCACTCAATTCTGTGTCCCACAGAAGGAGCAATCTGGCAAGGTGAACAGAAAATGCCATTCCCGTTAAACTTTAACTCAAAAGAGAAAAAAATCCAATCTTAGTTTACCCTCCTAGTATGAATTCTACACA